CAGCCCCAGCTCCTCCCCAGTGGCGCAGTCCCCCAGGGTGTGAAGCAGGAGCTGGAGCAGAGCTGGAGCAGGAGCAGCCCATGCCCGGAGGGGATGGCGCCGAGGCTGGCCACAGCAAGCGACTGAGGATGGAGATGGAGGCAAGCGAGGACAGCAGCATGAGAACACAGATGATGTGATGACGTCACTCAGGGTGTGTCTAGACTACACCTCTGTCGACAGGGGATTTAAATATCCAGTGCTTCATTAGCATAAACATGGCTGCTGCTTTTTTTCAAAATGGAGCTTTTTCGAAAAAAAATGGTAGTCTAGACGCAGATCTGTTGAAAATAAAGCCTTGTTCAAAAGATCCTGTAAACCTCATTTTTGAGGAATACAGGATCTTTTGAAAAAGGCTTTATTTTCGACAGAGTCTAGACTGCTGAATTTTTTCGAAAAAGCTCCATTTTGAAAAAAAGTGGAGGCCATGTTTATGCTAATGAAGCACTGGATATTTAAATCCCTGCTTCATTAACAATTTAGACGTGCCTAAGCTACATCTCTCTGTCGACAGAGAGGTGTAGTCTAGACACAACCTCTGTCATCCCACAAGAAAAATGTTTCTAAATATCTCTCTATACAACAAATTTTTTGTGTCCCACTGCCTGCCTCTGCCCTAAGCCGCATGGCCTCTCCCCTCTCTGGTGCTGCAGGGAGCCACAGGACCTGCGAGCTGTGTGGGTTCCCTGGTTTTCCAAGGAGCCAAGGGAGCCATGTGGCCTCCCCCATCCCCGGTGCTCCGGGGACCTGTGTGGCCTCCCCCTCCCCGCCCCTCCAGCTCCCTCACACACACCCTGGTCTGAGACCCCACACCTCCAGCCCATTCACTCATACTCCCCCAAGCCAAGACCTTGCACCCTGAGCCTGCTCCCTTCCTCCCTGGCCACACCTACCCCCAACCTGCTCCTGCACCTTCCCTAGCTCCTACACCCTTCCCCCAGCCAGACACCCTTCCCCAAAGCTTGTTCCTGCACCCTCCCTTCTGGCTAGACACCCTACCCCAGCCCATGCTTGCACCCCAGCCAGACAGCTACCCCCAATGAGCAGGGGGTGCAGGGGGAGATGGAAGGGAGAGTGGAAGAGGAGTTTGGAGAGTGGAGGAGGAGAGGAACGAACAACTGATAAGGAGACTCAGAGGAGCTGAGCAGAACATAATCAGCACTGCTACAGGCAGCAGGGGGAGGTAAGGGGCTCTGACATGGAGTGTTGGGAGGCTCCCTTCCCCACAGGTGGCCAGAAACTTCAGCTGGTGGCCTGGGAGGGCTGTTTTCTTAGCCCCAACTGGCCGGGGCATCATCCCCAACACCCCTTTGTTTTTCTGAGGGACAGAAGGCCAAATGCTGAGAAAGGGCAAGTGGGACTTATACTTCAGCCCCTAAACTGTGGGATTGGGGGCAGAACAGGGGCCTGGGACCCAGGAGTGGGGCTGACCCTGCTAGAGTGTATATAGAGAGAGAATTTACCTTTCTTCTGCATGAGATTCTGTCTGGCTTTAATGAAAGCCAGAATATCAGCATCAGTCTGGCTGTCTCCTGTGAGTGGGATAGATGTACTTGAAGTCCGAGGGGTCCTGAAATAAGCAAGTATATTCAAGGATTCAGCTGAGTAATGAGAGAGAAACAGAGAACATAAAATCAGTCTCCTTTTTTCTGTTTGGGAAAAAAAGATAGATGTGTAAGGGCTTTCTCTTCAGGCTGTGTGGGCAGAAGTCAGCCTAAGTTAGGGCACAGTCAAGACCATGTCATTTTAACTTTCTGATCTGTACAGACTTTTAAAATACACCTGTATTCCCACAACTCTCTAACAAACTGCAGCCTGTTTAGTTATTACGCACCCTCCCCTCACACAGAGTTTTAAAATAGTTTAATGTCAACCCATAGAGAATTACTGGCATAACACAAGGAGGTTACTAGAGAAATGCTGGGTATATCTGTGCAATGCGGCTCTTTGCTACAGAACTGATGCTACTATTTGCATTGTACAAGTCTGTTGCATCCTTGCCTCCTAGAGGCAAGCTGATGAGCATTCCAGGTTCTGGTTCTTGGAACAGCATGACCACATGGCTGTACATGTAGAACTAGACTGTTGATCATCTGATGTTCATGACATCGGTCAGCAGGCACTGTACCCAGGACAGTCCTAGTGGATAAACAACAGTTTATGGTGCTATCTTTTTGTCTATTTTAGTTCTAATCCAATACTGAGTCCCTGTGCCCATATGTCTTCACACTGGTTTAGAGATGAACTAGTCCAGTGGTGCGCAACCTTTTTTGATCTGCAACCCCTGCGCTGCAGGGGCCACCAACTGCCGGTCCCAGCCCCCAGCCAGTCAGATCTAAGTGCTGTGGTGGCGCACCACTGAACTAGTCCACAACTGGTGAGATATTAAATAATAGTAATAATACCAACACTTCCCAAACAGAAACTATTTTAATCAAAGCATGATAAGAAATGAGGAGAGGAATCATAATGATATACATAGACTACTACCTAAGTAACTATTCTGCTGGTGAGGTAACTATTATGGCAGTTTGTAATCTTGGTTGATGTCTGATATGCATGTCTATATGCTGCTAACTAAGTCTATAGTTGGTAAATAGTGGTCTCCTGGCATAGAACCAAAATAGCAATTGTACCCAAATCATTATAAACTCCACAATGTCTATTTTATCTAATTTAACAAGGATATTCTAAAATTGCAACAGAAGTCTGTTTCTTAGGATGATCTTTCTAGTAGCTATTAGTAGAGACATCTCTATAAAAACTATAAGGGCTGAGTGAAAACTGAGGACCTTAGGGGAGAGTCAGATATTCTTAGTTAAGGAAGTAGATTACAACGCACTTTGTCACATGAATATCTACATCCTCCGTTGTGACCTGGAGTTACTGCTGTGCATCATCTCCTGGGTTCAGCCTAAGGCCGCTAAGCAGCCATTATCAAGAAATGATTCTGTACAATACCGTGACTAGTTCATATAAATGTTACATTTTCTATACCCTCTGCTGAATTTAATTAGCAGCCATGTTAACAGTGGAAAAATGTACAGCACATAAGAGCAGGTACTGACTAACTTCCATTTTTAACTTGTTTTCTCTATCTTTTTCACACACAAACACATTTCTGAAATACTCATTTTTGGGGAAGACATTTTCCCCGTTTTGCCTCTTTCCCAAAAGTCAATTATTTTAGAAAATGTGAGAAACATACTGTCTGCTCTTTTTCCTATTGCAAATTAATAAATAATAAATCAAATTCTCACCACATTTTCTTAGATATGGCAACCCCAAAAAGTGTTAAACTTGAAGCACAGATGGGTTATGTTGAGTTTGGGGGTAGAGGGAGTGAACGCGCGCACACAAAAAGTGATCCTAAAAGCTCTCAGTGTCCTCTGCTAAGAAATTCATTGAGCATAAGGCTGCTATGTCTACTTTGAGGAAACAGTACAAATTCTCACTGTCGATCCTGGGAGACACAGGAGTTGCTATTTTCAGGTTATTACTGGAATAATTTGCAAAAGGACGATTGGGAATATCTTAAAGAAATAGACACAGTAAAATCCTACTTAAAAATTCTGCTTTAACACTCAGGACAGATGAAAACGAGGGGTTAAAAATATTGTGGGTCTCTTGATTTTAGCATCTCTGCATCCTACATTGGTCTAAAAATTCTAATATCCCCATTTTAAAAATACAAAAGATCCTTTTAAGTTGTTATGATAGAGTTTTGACAATATGAACCATCTGAAAACTGCCTCCAGTCAACCAGGCAGTGTATGAAAGGAGGGTGCATGCGGTACAAGTGAAGACACAGACTTGCTCTTAATTATAAATTTAGATTCAAAATTAGCAGCTTTAGCATGTTATTAAGAGACACAGAGAGAGGACTATGGAGCATATAGGGTTCTAATAAACAGAAGATAACATGCCAGACTACCTTAGCCTCTGAATGACAGAAACATATTCCCTACCTTGTACTAGAAGCTGAGTTGCTGAGACTGCTCACATTGTTTTTCCTACCAGGATCTGAAGAACTGGAGGGGGAAAACACAAGGGTAATGAAGAGTTTGGGTGGAGGAAAGTTCTAAATCTTGCAGGAAGAAGAGGAATTTTCTGCCCAAAGTATATGATGACAGTGCGTGCATAGAGAATATGACTTGAAAAGTCACTCACAGGCTTTAATGTTTAGAGCGCTGGTTCTCAACCTTTGCAGATTACAGTACCCCTTTCAACAGTCTGATTAGTCTTGTGTACCCCAAGTTTCACCTTGCTTAAACTAATTGCTTAGAGAATCACACATAACAATAAGGAAGTGTCACAGTACACTGTTACTGAAAAATTGCATACTTTCTCATTTTCACCACATGATTAAAAAGAAATCCATTCAAATATAAATATTGTACTTACACTCTCAAATGTAACCCTGAAAGTGGTAGCCGTGTTGAACTGTAACTTTAAAAACGAGTAGTCCTGTGGCACCTGGCCTTAGAGTATGTCTACACTAGGAAATTATTTTGAAATACATGTAACTTATTTTGAAATAACTCCTGAAATGATCATTTCAAAATGGCATGTCCACACTACAAGGCAGCATCGAAATAGCTCAAAATTATTTCAAAATAGCACATCCATACTGATTGGAGCCTGCATTGGATTGAAAGCCCCTGGAAGCACTCCAGAGAGGCACCAGGAGGGCAGCACTTTCTGTGGCTGCTTGCTGAAGCTATCTGGGATAGGGGCTCCTCTCTACGGCCGCATCTCACACGCCACTCCTCCACTGCCTACCCCCTTGTGGAAACCAAGCACACATTGTGTGCTCTGGTTGCCCTTGCGGATGCCACAACATTCACATCACAGAGCCTGAGCTGCTGCAATGCAATGCCAGGCTCATGGGCCTCATGCTACACATCATGGTGCAGTTCATGCAGACTGCCCACATGTTGCTCCAGCAGGACGACGACCAGCCCCAAACAGAGAACCCATTCACCCAAGTCCTGGAGCTCCTGCTGCAGCAAATGAACCTCACCATGGAATGCCACTTATGGCGGAGGGAGACCAGTTCGACTAGAGGGACCGCATTGTCCTGCAGAGATGAGATGACCAGCAGTGGCTCCAGAACTTCCACATGCAGAAGGCCACCTTCCTGGAGCTCTGTGAGTGTCTCATCCCTGCCCTCAGGCAACAGGACACCTGAATGCGACCCATCATCCCTCTGCAGAAGTGCATCACCATCAGAATCTGGAAGCTCATCACGCTGGACAGCTAGGCTACGTCTAGACTGGCATGATTTTCCGCAAATGCTTTTAACGGAAAAGTTTTTCAGTTAAAAGCATTTGTGGAAAAGAGCGTCTAGATTGGCACGGACACTTTTGCGCAAAAACACTTTTTGCGGAAAAGCGTCCGTGTCAATCTAGACGCGGTTTTGCGCAAGAAACCCCCGATCGCCATTTTCGCCATCGGGGCTTTTTTGCGTAAAATGGTTCTCAGCTGTCTACACTGGCCCTCTTGTGCAAAAGCATTTGCGCAAAAGGGCTTTTTCCCAAACGGGAGAGTCATTGTATTTGCGGAAGAACACTGACAATCTTACATTAGATCGTCAGTGTTCTTATGCAAATTCAAAGCGGCCAGTGTAGACAGCTGGCAAGTTTTTCCTCAAAAGTGGCCGCTTTTGCGGAAAAACTTGTCAGTCTAGACGCAGCCCTGCTGTTCCGTCGGGAACTAGTTCAGTGTGGGGAAATCCATGGTCAGGGCTGTGCTCCTGCAGATAGTCAAGGCCATCAATAATATCTTGCTGCGGAGGGTCATCACACTGGGGAACATCGATACCATCATGGATGGCTTTGCTGCCCTGGGTTTCCGCAACTGCAGGGGGCCCTAGATGACACTCACAACCCTATCCTGGACCCCGACCACTGAGACTTGAACTATATAAACAGAAAATGGCACTTCTCTGTGGTGCTGCAGGCCTTTGTGGACTACAAGGGACAGTTCACGGACATTAACGTCAGCTGGTCAGGGAAGGTGCACGAGGCCCACAATTTCCAGAACACCTGCCAGCACTTTTTTCCAGGACTGCACCATCAGGGTCAGAGATGTGGACATGCCCATCTGTATCCTGGGTGATGCAGCCTACCCATTGCTCCCTGGCTCATGAAGCCTTCCATGGTCAGTCTGGACCCCACCAATGAGAACTTCAACACCAGGCTGAGCAGGTGCCGCATGGTTGTGGTGTGTGCCTTCGGCTGCCTAAAGGGGAGGTTCAGGAGTCTCCTCACCTGCCTGGACATGAGCAGGCACAATATCTCATATGTGGAGGTGACTTGCTGTGTGCTCCACAACCTACATAGAGCAAGGGAAACTTTCCTGACAGGGTAGGGGGCAGGAGAGTTTCAGCCGGCCAGAGATTATGAGCAGCTGGACATCAGTGCCATGCAGAGAGCACATCAGGAGGCTGTGCTCATCCGGGAGGCCTTGAGGGAGAGTTTCAGCCAAGGCCACGTGTGAGACTCTCCCCTGGGCTTCTGCACAAAGGGCCCCTGCATTCCCTCTGTGTGCCTTTCCTTCCCCACCACTTCCTTCCTCTGCTTTCCCTCTCCCCCTCTCTCCCCGCCCTTGCACGGTAAATAAAGAAACCTCTCAAAAAAATCCTCTGTTTATTTGAAGAGGGGAGGAGGAGTGTGGGAGGCTTAGGATGAGGCTGGGACTGGCGCCTGCTTTGGGTAGCTTGGGAGGCTTTGGCTGCCAAGAAGTCCCACCTCCATATGTTCTGGGGCCCCGGCAACCCCTGGAGGGATTTAGGGTTAGGGTTAGCTGCTGCTGCCTGCCACAAATGGAGGATCTGGCTCTAGTCTCTATTCTGGACCTCTCCATCCCTTCACCACTCCTGTGGAAGGACTGTACTTGCCAGGGAGGAGCAAGTTCTCCAATCAGGAAGGACTTGGAGGATCATGTGACCCAGATCGTGAGCTGCCAGCTGAAGGTGAGGAGGGATCGGTGCTTCATTGCCTGCCATTGGCCATGTGGAAAAAGCTGGGTAAGTAACAGGCACAGTCAGATCAGGTCAACTTCTCTGCTTTGCTCCCAAATTCTCCCCTGCCCTGTGAACTGCTAACAGGATGGAAGCCCCCACTTCCTGCTTATCCCCTAGCCCTCTCATTGAGGAATTGGCCAGATAGGGATTCCGTTTTCCCGTGTTACACTCCTCATTCAGTTGCCTGTTTACTTATCTGCCTGGTACTTTGCCCCCTTTCTCTCCAATTTGCACCCCTCCCCTCTGCTTCATGGTAACAAGACAGCGCCTCTCTCTTCCCCTTCTGCTGTGCTTCCTTACTTTCTCCCTGTTTGGAATCAGGTCAGTATCTCCTCCAGTGAGAGCAAGACCAAACTTCTCCCTGCGCTGTCACTGGAAATGGAAACAACCCCCAGTTTCAGCCATTTGTCTGATCATGTTAGGTTCCCCTACTTTTTTTTAGCTCTCTGATGAGTTCCATGCTTGGAAAGCTTCCCTCACTAGCCGCAGGAAACAGGACAGCCATAGCCTACATGTGCAGAGACTGCAAATGGGTTGGGGGCAGTTTTTTTGGTTGTATGCAAACATTTGGTAAAGATTTTTTGGGGGATGGGATAGAACCTTGTGAGGAGACATTGTGAGAGACGAAACATATCATAGAACAAAACTTTGGATAAAAGTGATTTTGAAACTTTGTGTTGCCTTGAACATAAGAACATAAGAACGGCCGTACTGGGTCAGACCAAAGGTCCTTCTAGCCCAGTATCCTGTCTGCCAACAGTGGCCAGCACCAAGTGCCCCAGAGAGGGTGGACCAAAGACACGATCAAGCGATTTGTCTTCTGCCATCTCTCTCCAGCCTCTGACAAACAGAGGCCAAGGACACCATTTTATCCCCTGGTTAATAGCCTTTTATGGACCTTCCATGAAATTATCTAGCTTCTCTTTAAACTCTGTTATAGTCCTAGCCTTCACAGCCTCCTCTGGCAAGGAGTTCCACAGGTTGACTACACGCTGTGTGAAGAAGAACTTTCTTTTATTAGTTTTAAACCTGCTACCCATTAATTTCATTTGGTGTCCTTTAGTTCTTCTATTTAGGGAACTAATAAATAACTTTTCTTTATAGGCCCTCCCCACACCACTCATGTTTTTATAGACCTCTATCATATCCCCCCTCAGTCTCCTCTTCTCTAAACTGAAAAGTCCCAGTCGTTTTAACCTCTCCTCATATGGGACCCGTTCCAAACCCTTAATCATTTTAGTTGCCCTTTTCTGAACCCTTTCTAAGGCCTAGGGAGCAAGTGTAGATGTACCCTCAGTCTTCTTTCCTAACCAAATAAGCCCAATTCTTTCAGTCTTCCCTCATATCTCATGTTTTTTAGCCCCTTAATCATTCTTGTTGCTCTTCTCCAATTTCTCCACATCTTTCTTGAAATGTGATGTCCAAGACTGGACACAATACTCCAACTGAGGCCTAATCAATGCAGAGTATAGTGGAAGAATTATTTCTCGTGTCTTGCTCACAACACTCCTGTTAATGCATCCCAGAATCATGCTTGATTTTTTTGCAAAAGCATCACACTCTTGACTCATATTTAGCTTGTAGTCCACTATGACCCTTAGATCCCTTTCTGCAGTACTCCTTCCTAGACAGTTGCTTCCCATTCTGTATGTGTGAAA